TACAAATTCTATATTAGCTTTAGATCGACGAGCAATATTTATAAAAACAGTAGTTAGTGACCAAGCGTTACATCGACGAGCAATATTAATAACTACAGTAGTTAGTGACCAAGCCTTACGTTGGCCTCGAATGTCAGGGGGCCGTCTGCCACCTGCTCGGAATGCTGTACACCATCAAAGCTATGCGTATCGAGCCTGTGACATGCAACAACGAAGCCAACAAGACAAAGCGAAAGGCGTTTGTGGACACCCTTTTGCAACATCAACAATGCGGAGACTACATTGCATACTACGACGAAACCAACTACAACATCTACTGCCATCGCACCCTCGGGCGTGCAAAGAAAGGCCAATGAGCGACGTTAGTGCTTCCTCCGTCAAAAGGGCCAAATCTTCAAGTGCAGTGTGCTGTGTCGGCCATCGGTTGGTGTGTGGAAGCATCAAGATGGCCCAGAATGCGGCGTTTGTTGAAGAGATATATCAAGCCGTGAAGGCAAGTGCCTCCTGGAACACGAACTTTGAGGACAAGAGGGTGGTCATTGTTCTTGACAACGCACCTGCACACTCTCAAACTGAGCAGCGCGTTGAGCCATACGAGGACTTGGTGCTCTTGCGCTTTGGGCCATACTCACCGATGCTAAATCCTATTGAAAGCTGCTTTAGCGTGTTGAAGGCCCACATCAAACGTTTTGCTTGCGTCGCGCACCAATGTGCTGTTTGAACGCGGGGAGTTCAATTCCTTCCTGGAGAGTCGCATGCTATTGCTTGAGAAGCTGCCCGTGAAAGCCTTCCATGCATTACCCAGTCATTGGTTATTCGTGAGGCTATGTTTTGTCAGCGCAATGTTGAGAAGGCGCTTCGGTTCGATGATATGTCCTACGGAATGTAATTTGCACCACATTGATTGGAATTAAACCACATTGTAATGGAAATGTGCAGTTTCTTTGTAACTATCCGGAGAGTTTCAAACGTTTTATATTTTTTATCGCCACTTTGATTGGAATAAAGTGCCACTTTGATCGGGAAAAGGTGTAGTAATCCTCACTCAGCCTGGCAGGATACAAAGTGCCGTTACTTTACAGTTAATCAAGTTCAGCCAAAGCATCCTCACGCCACAGGAAAGCGGGTTGTGAGGATATTACTGAACTTATTCTGAACTCGTGACTCGTGGTTGCCGATGCCCGACCATCGGCGATGTCGTGGATTCAATCAGTGCCTCGACGGTCAGAAGCTCGTTTGAAAAGGCCCTCCCTCGCATATTTGAATTGTAATACATTTGAAACTCATCCGTTTGTACTATTGTAAATATTTCTAGGAGTACTAACAGTGTAAAACAAGTTGTGGTGCGTCCCAACAAATGTCCCGACAAGTACCCCAACAAATGTCCCGACAAGTCATTAAAAATAGTAATACTAAATTCAATACCATCAGTCAATTATATTCTGCTCAAAAATTACATAACGTTATTAAAGTGTTCGCGGGCCATATCTTTGGGTCAAACATCACTGAAGTACCATTGGTTGGAATGTTGGATTGACAGTGAATCAATTTTATTGGATTTTCGATTGGACTAGAAACTCCAAATTGGACTAGAAACTCCAAATATTAACGAATGCATAACTCTATTACTTCGAAGTACTATTATTTATAATATTAATACGTATTATTAATAATAGTAATACGTATTATTAATAATACCAGTACTGTAGTAGCATTAACACTCACCGCTTCGCTTGTGTACTGGCAGGAATATGGAATGGCGCTTCGCACATAAATCTTTGCTTGAGTACTTGAAACAACCTCCACAATAACGATAACCGGGGCGAATTGCCAGTGGTTAGCTATCGTTAAACCCCCCGGCAATGCGCCTAACCCATCACGAATCAAGCCGAACTTTTTTACTATCCTACCAGTCAAGTTAATCAGCCTTGTTTTAATCTGCCACACGATTCGACTTTCACGACAAGGATGGCTTCCAAAACCGACTCAAAGAACTTTGCATCATCCGGAAGTTGTGATGATGAAAGTGTAAAGCCAGCCGTTGATGAATGCTATTGTTGAATGCTAGTAGCATCATCATGCTCCAACATCGTACTACTAAACAAGACATCCTGGATCCAGGCCTCTATAATCTGCCTAAAATCTCAATCGATTTCATACTTTGGATTCTACATTGATTGGAAAAACATACTATTAATACTTTTTAATACCTACTGCGAAACAAACGGTGAAGTACTTACTACCTAGTAGTACTATGAACGTATTCACTTGGATTAGTGCATACCTACTGATATTCGATCGATTGCGCCAAATAAGTTGCAATAGTCGAGTTTATTGACTGTGAGATGCAAAACCGTGTACCCACAACAGCCACCGACGCCAAGTGCCGACGGCAAGAACTTAATCGATTTTGCACAGTGCAACCATAATGATGTAACAAAAAGTGATTATAAGGCTGCAAACTACTCTGACATTGATGCACCAACAACAGCCACCGCCACAACCCCCCGACGATGATCTCTTTGATCATTGACCGCTGATTGAAAGACGATTGTTCATAGCAACGGTCGCCAAAAGTCGCAACAGTTGATCATTCGAAATTTATGGAATGTGTATTTTATCGAAATTATCAAATTTCTTGATTAAACTATTGGCATCATACAGACAAACTGGGATGTTTGTTTTATCAAAATTATCAAACGTCTTGATTAAACTATGGGCAACTCACAGTTACATGACCGTTACTGTAACTCGAATGTATGTTTTATCCATATTATCAAACTTCTTGATTAAACTATTGGGACCGTATTGCATACTAGTAACGCTTACGTTTTGGGCGCTGTCATCTTATCGAAGTGATAATAGTATTGTCCGTTTCACCTAATTTGGACAGGGTAGTTTATTGGAGAAATCGACTTGAAGCACATTTTAATACCGCGAAATGTATACTGTACAAAAATTACATATAAAATGTTTGTCTGGGACAAGATATGGGCCATATCTTTGAGCCAAACATCGCTGTAGTACCATTGGTTGGAATAGGTAGAGTAACGTTACAGTATATTACTCCGAGAAATACAGTTGTTCTACCAGTAACGTTATTCACAACTTGGTGTTGGGTTGAACCATCGCATTATTCGTTCAAGGTTAACGTGCTCACTGGTTTGGGGCAATGTACGTGTCGGTGGCTGAGTAAAATGAATACTTCTTCTTGTCTGACAACGGCTACACATAATAAAGCGAGTACTGTAGTATAAGGCCATACATATGATGATAAATATCCAAGTGCTTACCTCCGGTCCCGTGGCAATGGGAGGCACGGCGGGGAACTGAAACGCCAAAGTTACTGTGCGTGGCATCGTGCTGTGACTCGTGGTTGCCGATGTCGCAAGACTCGGGTGGGAGTGATGTTGTATCTGGTGCTTGGGAAGTGCCTTTTCCCGATCTCGTTTTGCATCCACGGTGGCACCTAATTTCGCTGCAATATCCTGCACAAAATGCACCGGTGCTGGTTTGGACGCTCCGTGCAAATGCGAGCTTTTCGGGCGTGGTTGCGTACATCGTTTGGCAGGATCTAGTGGCTTAAGCGTTTGGCGTGGCGAGACGAGGGGAGGGGGCTTCAAGCCCCCACAGGATTCCGTGGTGGTTGTTGCGTAGTGGTAATGTTTGGGTAAGTATTGGTCACACGAGAGGCATTTCAGAGACGCTTTGGTCAGTCCAAGGTGGATGACGTCATCCGTTTGTTGGTTCTGCTCGAGTCGTCGCATCTCGGACTTGTCCGCTTTCGTTTCGAGTGTTCGTACAATCGATTGAATCACGTCCGAATTCGGCAAGCGTTGAAACGCCGACCTCAACTCTTCCATCGACGCAAGTGCCGCGTCAGTGGACAAGTCATTTTGAAGCTAGGAGGGGTACGGTAGGTATATAGTGTACTTGGGGGATCATACCGACTGCTCATACCTTGGCCTGCAACTGACTGAGTTGATCTAGCATTTCTTCTTGACGGGGACATGCTGCGAGCTGCATCTCCAGTTGATGTTCGAGGTATGCATGCCGCTCCAATTCATTTTGCACGTGCTGATCACAATCAGAACAATCACGATATATCAACAAATTGCAGGCAGTATATATATATACGTGTACCTCCACCTGCGACCGCAACACTTCGTGTGTCAAGCCCATCGTTGCCAAGGATTGCTCGATTAACTAAGTTACGCCACCCAACACGGACTCAATTTTTTTTAAGATGACTTAATATGATGTGGAATAATCGAACGAAGGTGAATTATAATAATCCCCAACTGCATTGACGAGGTAACGTTTTCCGACAAATGTTGCTAACGCTAGGCTTTGTACCTGTGCAGATTGGTGGCCCATACTACTGTGCATAGACGACCACACTCCCCACTTGACCAAATTAGAGTACCCCGGTAACATGGTCATTGCGTGTGCGAGTACTTCAAGACCCGTTGTCGTCTGTCTTGCCGTATCGTAGAAATGATCGGCAATGAAATTGGATAATTATACTCCAAACTTGCTTGTACCTCGGGGTTCGATGCCGTCGCCTGAACGAGCGCAGGGAGCGCGTCCAATCCTCGCTCCAAATCCATCATGGCCCCGAGTGGCGGCGCCGAGCCCCCGGCTTTGGCGTCCAAGATTTGTTGAATCGCATGCCGTGTGGCGAGGGCCATGACGTGGCACTCGGACACGTGACTGAGGTCGGTCAAGTCTTTCGCTAGACCCAAGAGCTGCTCCTGGGTCAGACCACAAAGCACCCGGTCTCGCCATACGATCTCGAGCTCCCCCATGTCGGGCACGGTCGTCTGGACAGCTTTGACGTGGGCATGCAGGTCTCGGCACTGCCGCGTCTAGCATTATTCCCTCGATATAAGAACACTCGATACAAGGAACGTCGAATACGTCACTAACCATGTCGTCCACCGCGGCGTCGTATTGTCGCTACATAAGTCAACCCAACGACGTTTGGGTGACTGACACCCCAGATACATATGAATACAGTACACAGACGTACTTGTGCCTCCAATTGATGGTGCTTGAGCTGGCCCAGCGATTGAAACATCGTCTCGAGCGCTCGGTTCTAACCGTCGCCTTAGCCGAAACATAGACTACGTAGTATATATGCTGCGTTTGATACATACAATTCTGTCGAACTCAGCGTCCATGCCTTCTAGCTTGTAGTGCAACGTGGCAACCTTTTCGTCGACGTAGGCCAAACATTGCTGCGCCGAGGTATCGATCATAGCGGCGACGTGGCTCAGATCGGGACTACCACACGACTGGGCTTGGCCTTTGGCTTCGATCGTAGCCACGCGTAAACACAAGCTGTGAACGAGCGACTCGATCAGCGACCCTTGGGCCACGAAGAACGACGCCACGTCGCTCTCCAAACTCTCATACAATGCCATGACCAATCAATGCCCCCCCTGTCAACACGCCTCCAAGACAAAGGTCTGCACCTATGCGGCCAGGCGTTTCAAAGTATCGGTTACAGTGTGAAACGCCGTGAGGAGCCTCCACCAACAAGTACAGTACTGTATTGCTGCACCAATACATACATATAAACCAACACATCGTCATAATGGTTGGTAGCAGTTGACAGTGATACAGTAGATGCTTACAAGCTGCAAGGCAATTTCGGGTAGACGGCTTGTTGCTAAAGTAAAGTTGTCATTGTACGTTTGCAGAAGTGGTATATGTAGTAGTCGAAGGAAGTGTACTTAGTGTACACTGCGCATTACTATAAACATAATATTGGCTGTTTGGAAATGGAGGTTAATATAGGTATAATTTCAATTTCGAATAACTGCTAAGGGTGCGTTTGGTAACATTTCAAAACTAATATTCCATTTTCTCGCAAAATGGGATCAACCAAAATGCCATTTCAAAATGGACCTTTTATGTCCATTTTGTAATAACTACGGCGTTTTGGACCTCTTCAACGAGTACATCCCATGTGGAATTGTTGGGTTTGGGGTAAAACTCTTCAAGCAAGACAGGTTTCAATGTTGTTCTGATTTGTTAAAAATGGCGTTAGGGCCTGAATATTGCAATATTTCTGGTTACCAGACGCACCCTAAATTACTGTAAGTTATTGGAGGTTGTTGTTCCTGTGAAACCGTTTGAAAGGAACGTCTGCAATGAGTCCTTCCGCCAACCAGAGGCCAACCGCTGGGATGCTTCCCCGGATGACAACATGGGGCGTTCCTAGTGTGGTTTCTGCGGGACCCGCTTCATCCTCCCCACCTCCCCCAGCGCCGCTGCGACTCTTGCATGTCAAGTCCAATGGCGACGCTGGAACCATCACGCCATCAACGAACGAAACCCCCGACGCTCCGTTAAACGACAAAAACATCGAATATGACGCCAATCAGTGCTCATTATGCCGAGACAAAGGTCTGTGCTCCAAGGCGTATGTAGACAATACCCCCGGCGTCTTTTGCTGGAACGCGGGAAATGCAACAACCCACTCGTCGACGTCACTACTCTCTCCGTGCTGCTGTCGTGAACCATCGCTGTGTCTTCCATTTCCGTACTCGTCCTGCGCATGCCTTCAAGCCACAGACCCCATCGATCCACCCAAGCTGCCAAAGGAAAAGTCCAACCAACTCACCATCGCCGCTTCGGCAGGTGCCGCGGCGGTCGTGGTGGTCGTCGTATGGCTGCTTTGGAGATCGCGACGATCGAATCGTGAGATTCCGCCGCCGGATGCGTCTTTTGAGTACCCGATCATGAAGGAAATGTAACATGATGAACTATTACTAATTAATAGATAGTAATACCTGCCTGCGTACATGTATTTACTGTTAATTTGCCTTACACCTTGTAGTCACTGTACATATTGATTTCTACAGTAATGGAAAATGAATAACCTCTCATTATTTATGTATATTCATATTTTTTGCAGGCCAGTCAGAATACTGTAAATATTTATATACTTCGAGTATACTACTTCGAAGTACTAACGTAGTACAGTAGCTGTAGGTTAGGTAGGTATAATACGTGAAATGGGAAGTTATATGGGAATAACGTGGACGTTTTTCTATCGATGAGTGAAATCAACTCAAAAATGATTTCTTCGTGCATGCAACGGCAACGATCTGGTGGGATCTACCTGACCTTGATCCTGATGGGAATGTGGTGCATTGTCCAGTCTGTCGATGCAGGCAGCAACCCTTCATCATTGCACCCTCCTCCTGCGCTAGCTTCCTTGCGGCTCCTACGTGACAAGTCAAACGACACCACTGCAATGCCGACGTCGAGCAACGTCTCCTCCCCTGCCTCTGCCATCGGGATCGAGTACGATGCGAACCAGTGCGCACTATGCCGAGACAAAGGACAATGCTCTAAGGCCTTCGGCGACGGTAGCCCTGGCGTGTTCTGTTGGAACGTGCTGGCCACAGCCAACTCGACGACCGCACCAACGGCACCATCCCCGTGCTGCTGTCGTGACGTCCCGCTGTGTTTTCCATATGCATATTCGTCCTGCGCATGCCTCCAGCCCACAAACCCCGTCGAACCGCCACCGCCAAAGGACAAGTTGACCAATGCCATGACCATCGCATTATCGGTGGGCGGGTCAGTCGCGTTGGTTGGAGGTGGGTTGTGGCTGTGGAGATGGTGGCGTGCCAAACGACTTCCGCCAGGAGATTCAGCCGAGTACCCCATCATGAAAGAAATGTAAATGTTCACTTGACGTGCAACGAAGTGTACATGTTTTGAAGTGGCCATCTACTCGTTCACTTCGAGCCTTAAGTACGAGTTAACAGTAAGTTAGGTTTGAAACAGTCGATTTTGTTACATTAGTATAACCAGCTTATATGATGTATCGTGAGATTAGCGATGAGTCGGCCTGTAGGGGTATAAAACTAGGAATCAAGCGAAATCAGTTACCAGTACATTCTTCTCAACGGCGGATGGCCATCACAATACAGTACCTTGCTGAACAAATAAAATATCATAATTTCCAAAAGACCGCCAGATTTCCAAAATGAAGCAGAATCTTGTCATTTGTGGAGTAATTTAGTAATTTACCATTAGTTTCTTCCTACGCCGAGATTCCGACATCCCCGAACTGCACTTTTGCAATTAGCACAGGACACGTCATCGACTACTACTATTAATAGTACGTACTACACCTTTTTGCGGTTAATTTCGAAAAATATCTGGTACATTTCTTGGAATCCCATTAAAATTCGTGGAAATTTATTATATTTCGCGACCTCGGCATTTAGTTTCGTGGGAACGTCGAATTCACTCATGATATTTCGTGGACTGCCAGTATATTTTGTGATTTGCTCAGTTAGATTCGCAAACGTCCAATATATTTCGTGACGAGACGAATATATTTCGCGTGTTCACTTCAACTCGCTCTGATTGGTCAGAAAATTGTGCGCGAAACCTTCTTTCGCACACTTTTCAAGCCTCGATCCAGCACATCCTCGTGGATCCCGACCTTCCCCTCATCCTCCCCGATGGCGATGAACCCCCATCACCTTGAACCCCACTAAGCACACACATACTGGCCTAGTAACGTCTTCACAGGGAGTTTCATTGCTCACTATGGGTTCTCGATTTGATTCACCATGGACGAGTATGGACTGCAAAAACGTCCAGATGTCAGCAAAGCGACCACTGGTATTGCTTTGCAGACATCGGGACGTTTCCGTACGTGCCTCGTCGACGTGGCTGACACGACCGGTGTAGTTGCTCCAGATACACGTAGTATATGAGTAGAGTTGATTGTCATAGGAGTTGATGTGAACCATTTCTATCAAAACGCTCTCCACCTCGACAACAGAGCCAAAAACATGGTCAACGAATTGGTTGGAGCCTGCAGTCGTCCCTCCTGCATACACCCATTGCGTTAACATTTATGCGAAATACCGGTATATTGGCCTCGTCACGAAATATATTGGATGTTTGCGAATCCACCTGAGTAAATCACGAAATATACTGGCAGTCCGCGAAATATAATGAGTGAATTCGACCTTTCCACGAAACTAAATGCCGAGGTCGCGAAATATAATAAATTTCCACGAATTTTAATGGGATTCCAAGAAATGTACCAGATATTTTTCGAAATTAACCGCAAAAAGATGTAAGGTTAATTTCGAAAAATATCTTGCATCAATCTTCCGAATGGCAACAATCTTCCGAACAATTGGAGTTTTATCCAATCAGATTCCTCTAATTTGGCGTAAACATCACTGATTGGTAGTGATAATATTCATGACAGTAATTTTATACTTGGAGTTCAAATGAAAACCCAACCAATTTTAATCCCGCCTAACTAAATTAATACTACGTAGTACTATTAATAGTAATGATTAGCAGCAAATGAGTACGGGCGTCGAGCTCGTGGACGCTGCCTCGGTCGAAGGCGATTGCCATCGCTTCGACTGCGTTCGTTGACCTCTCCAAACCAATGGTGAGCAGTTAGACCCCCACATTGGTTCAAATGGATTTCGTACCTGTGGTGTGTGGTCGATGTCGTTGCCTCGCATGTTCTCTCGCCTGTACATGCAAAAAGCGAATGAATGACAGTATTATATTTAATCAAATTTAATTCGTATTATAATTCAATGTATACAAACCACCTGATGTTTGAAACCGTTCGGGGAATACTTTAGCCCAAATCCAATAATTCCACGTGGGATTTACTCGTTGAAGAGGTCCAAAACGCCATATTACAAAATTGACCTTTTACCTCCATTTTGCAAAATGGCATTTTGGTTAATTCCATTTTTCGAGAAAATGGAATACTAGTATTCTTTTTGAAATGTTACGCACCCTTATCCAAATCGAAGTTTTGTCGAAATTCGGATATTTTTTTGCGATAATCCAGATTAATTGGGATTTTCAAAAACAATTCGGATTATCCCAAAAAAGAAGATTATCCCTATTTTGTCCCAGTGGATGCCATCAGGTGTAACTGTTCTGCATGGCACTGCAGAAAGACCTATGAGCCTTTTTAGAGGTCGGCTCATGGTCTCATGATCGGTAAGGCCGTTAGTCTCCATTATGTGCAGCAGGCCGCCATTCGTCGTGCAGTTGTAGACATTGTCGCGCGGTTGAAAGATGTGCATTGTTGGCGCATTTTCATTGGACGAAATTATTAGACTTAAAATAGACCAGAAAATGTAATTCGTAAACCTCAGTTTGCAATTTATTCAGCCTCCGCAAGAGGTTCCCGTCCGGATAACGACGGGAGCGAAAATAGTAACTCTGGGAATCCATCTCTGAGCGATGTTTCCAAATTGGTATATATGAGTGGATTAACTAAATGTTGGTAAGTCACCGGAAAAACCCATCGAAGTTGAATTTGAGTTTTACACTGGGAACAACAGAGAATCCGGATTCCAGAGTCCCTTTCCTCCGAACACGGCCTAAGATGCACTTAACCCCACCTAGAAAGGTCCGAGCATACATAGTTCCATATAAACACTCATATTGCAGTTTTCTGAGAAAAGCAACAGTAGAACTGTTTTACTGAGAGGTAATTGTACTTACAAATTGTATTATACTGTACTTACTATTAACGAAACGATGAGAAGACTGTCGATCAAGCCAAAGATTGACGCACCATTCACGGGCAAGGCCGTTGAAGAAGCCGTTGAGAAAGACGGAACAGGTCCGCCTGCGGGAGGAGAATGCACATCAACGCACGCAGCTAGCCGTCTACCATCGTGTACACAACGAAAACAAGACCAGTCACGAGGTATTGGAGTCGCGCGTCCAAGAACTCCTGACGAAATGGTCCAACAATAGAGCCAACCGCGACCAACAACTGCGCATCCGAGCCGTGCATCGGTTCTGGAACTGGCTGGACAAGACGTGGGCCCTGGTGAACTCCATAAGAGTGGCCGTCTTGTGTGAAACGTACGGTGTCCTGTCGAGAGAGGGTAGAGTGCCAACCACAGTGATGCAACGCCTCCGTGACGCAAACGGCATCCACATTACGACAGGAGCCCCCATTGCACCCCAAACGAATGACATCGTCAAAATTCCCCCGTTCACCGCCAAGGCTTCTGCACCCGTTTACGTACCAATCAAATACCAGGCCTTACCAAGAACCAACTAGATGGAAGCACGAGCCATAGGCGCCGGCGCAATCACGGCCCTTGACACCGCAGTAACCACAGTCAGAACACGCCCGAACGGGAAAGGTGTGGTCAAACGGGAAGTGTCTTCAAGCGACGCCGGCGACGACGGACGCCCTTCGAAGAGAGCAAAATCCACCCCCGCATCTCCGAAACTTCAGCCTTCGGGCAACGAGTTCAAGCGTATTCCAAAGAACCCGAGAACATCCCTCAGTCAGCTTCCGCCAGTACAGTCCGTACCTGGCGAGATGTTGGACGTTTGCGAGGAGGTACGAGTGACGAAGCCCTGGGAACGCTATCGGCGGGCCGGATCAATTCTCTTAGACCAAGACGGCCGAGAGGGACAGCACGAGCCTCAGTTTCACAACAGCGTGGCCACCTTTTGGGATCGGTACGGGCAACAACTCTGGGAACAGACTTACGCCCCGTTCGGCAACCCCAACCACCTGGACCCCCTGTTCCATCAGGTCTTTAACCTCCATGTCAAGTTGCAGCGCTTGATCAACAACACCGACTACGACGACACCCATGCCCACTTCCTGTGCTTCCCGCACCCGCCTTGGTCAGTCTAGTCACTCAACCCGTGAGCACCATCGCTGGGCAAAGTGATTTCCCGCCGTGGATGAGAATCCGAATAATATATATATACTTATACGGGTATTTGTGATCAGAACGCCAACGCGACAACAATTTTGATATTCCGTTGAAGTGGGAGTTGTCCTTGCCAGCAGCGTTTCGCTTGACAATCGAGATAAAATACGTGCTTTGACTACAGTACCTCGTATGCTGTCTAACGCATGCGCGGCGGCTCGACGGCGTCGACTCGGACTATACATTTTGAGATCAGCATATGTCTAGGATTCTATGTGGAGACGAGGATCAAAACAACGACACAGCGACGTCGTTTCTTAGTTCCGTGTGCGTTAAGCTACGTTGACCTCCCCGTTATCCGAGGCATCCGTTGCAACCTCAATGCTGTGTCCGACGCCAAGGCACTGCTGGACTTCCGCTTCGACGTCATGAAATTCAAGGAGTTGGGCTTCCTACTTGGTCTCCCGGCTGTGGTGACTACCCAACGCTACCGTGCTTCCTGGGACGAAGCTGTCACGTAAAACGTAACAAGTTCAAAGGGTCTTAGCTTGGGAAACGCGGTCTCAGTACGGATATCGAAGGGGCAGTCGAGAGACGTGCTGGAACAACGGGAAACACGTGGGGTGTTTAGAGAGAAACTATTGTTAGGTTTGTTACTTCTACGATCAGGAAAAGACGACAGTCAGCCTGCCCCGTATCGGATGTAGTGCCCACTACCCGACTGATAAACATGCACCTTTTCGCCACATTCTTCCGAACTTCGCTCAAATCTCCTGATTTGACCGTTGGCGAGAGAACCGACAGGCAGTACAGCGCAACTCCCACGCTACGCCCATTCTTCGCCGAGATATGAGGACTCCCAACCGCGACCTACACCTGACCAACATCGGCAATCCGGCCCAGGCGCTCTTGACGAGCGCGGCCAACCTAAACATAGAGATCGACCACTTGACCTGGCAGCCGCCAGCCGGCGACGGTCAGGAGGATTTGCAACAACAACGCACGGAAATGGAACCGTTAGCTTGTTTAGTTTAGTATAGTACGTATACATTTTCGTAGTTAGTAAGTAATTCCCTCATCAACAACTGTAAAACAGTTCCACTGTTGTGTTAACCCGAAATACTGTTTCAATAGAGGTTTTGCAAGTGTCAGCTCGCGGCCTCGTTCTGCTCCGAACCATGCTTTTTGTGCCAAATTCAGCTCGTCTCCCACCACCGCCTTACCCTTACCCTTTCCCGCCTCTCTCGGCGCCTACCCAACCTCTCGATTCACCCCTTTATCCGCCATGGCACCTCTACGCCTTACTCAACGCACGCCTACCCTCTAATTCCTCCGATCCCAAAAACTGACAGGAAGCCATGCGCCGTTCCGATCGTGACAAATGGCGCGCCGCCACCCAAGACGAATCCCAGTCCCTTCACGACAACAAGACCTACGATCTTGTTCCACGCCTAAAAACTATGACAGTCCTGCCCTGCCTATGGGTTTTCCGCATCAAGCCCAACGGCACGTACAAAGCACGCCTAGTTATCAAAGGTTTTCTGCATCGTGAAGGCGTTGACTACGATGACATTTTTGCGCCTGTCGTACGCCTGGAAGTCCTCCGTTTTCTTTTCATTATGGTGGCTATCTACGACCTTGAGTGTCATCAAATGGACGTCAATACCGCCTTTCTCAACGGGACCATGGACCGCGTCGTCTACATGGAACAGCCGCCTGGCGACCTCGTGACCGACGTCTCTCGCCGCGAACTCGTCTGCCGCCTAAAACGCAGCCTCTACGGCCTCAAACAAGCGCCTAACCTATGGTACTGGAGCTTCGTCGACTATATGACATCCCAAAAGTACACTCGCCTACACAAGGACCGCTGCGTCTTCATCAAGTCCGACGCCTCTGGTTTCACAATTGTCAGCCTCTATGTGGACGATCTCCTTATTATTGCGCCTACCCTTTCCCTCGTTCTCGCCTTGAAGGCTTCTCTCTCTCAACGGTTTGCCATGAAAGACCTTGGCGAAGTCTCCGACATTTTGGGCTGGCAAGTCGAACGCAACCGAGCAGCCAAGACCATCTTTCTACACCAATCCCGCTACGCCGAAGCCATCCTGGACCGCTTTGACATGGTGAACTGTAATCCAGTTTCTACGCCTTTTAACCCCAGCCTTACTCTATCCGCTTCCCATTGTGCGACGACGCCTCACGACTTCGCCTTTATGATCGGCAAGAACTATCGCTCTGTCGTCGGCAGCTTCATGTACTTAGCTATGGGCACTCGACCCGATCTCGCCTACACTCTCCAACAACTTAGTCAGTTTCTCCACAACCCTGGCCCTACTCATTGGTCTGCCGTCCAACGTGCCCTTCGTTATCTCAAAGGCACCCGCATCTATGGCATCCGCCTTGGTGGCATCGCCTCTATCGACGATTTCCCTTTTCTATCCGCCTATGTCGATGCGAACTATGCTATGTGTGTTGACACTCGACGGTGCATCAGTGGATTTTTTACTCTCTTTTTCGGCTCACCCGTGTCGTGGCTTGCCAAGAAGCAGCCCCTCGTCACTCTGTCCACCACGGAAGCTGAGTTCGTTGCTCTCGCCTTATGCATTCAAGAACTTCTATACCTACGTCAACTCGCCTCCGAACTCCAGCAAACGTCTGATCAACCTGTCGTCGTACATGAAGACAACCAGTCAGTCTACCATCAAGATCGCTACCAACGCCGAACTCCACGGCCGTTCAAAGCACATTGACGTCCGCTACATGTTTGTCCGTGACCTTGTGGACTCCGGTGAATTCCAGCTCAAGTGGTGCAGCTCTGGCAACCAACTTGCAGACTTCTTCACTAAACCTCTTCCGGCACCCGCCTTTGCCGACCTACGATCACGCCTCTCCATCATTCCCCTCTCCGCCTTCACTACATGATCTCAAACGCCTATCAATACATTTTTTTTTATTTCACAACTCTACGCCTACCCGCCTATCCGATCTCACTTTATTTTCTTTTCTTCGTCAGCGCCTATCGTCGCCTACACTCCCAAATGTTTTTTTTTCTCTTCTTTTCTTCTCTTTGTCAGCGCCTATCGTCGCCTACTCTCCCAATATTTTTTTTTTCTCTTGTCTTCTTCTACGCCTACCATCTATTTTCTTTTCTTTCTCCTCTTCGCCTACCTTACTCCTTCCAATTTTATTTACTACGCCTTACCGTCTACGCCTACCACCCACATTTCGTCTTTCTTTTCTTACTACGCCTTACCGTCTACGCCTACCATCCACATTTCTTCTTTCTTTTCTTACTACGCCTTACCGTCTACGCCTAGCAAATCTAAGTCATCTTCGCCTCCCGCTCTTTTTCTTTTTTTCCTATCTTATTCCGCCTTACCATTTATACCTTCACGCCTTACCATCTACGCCTTACCAATCACGCCTTACCATCTACGCCTTTCAGTCTACGCCTAATATACCTACCCTCTATTTGCCTTGTGCATTTCCTTCTACTTTTCCCTCCTTCCACTTCAGTCTCTTCACCCACTTGTACTTTTCACGCCTACATCTTCAACATCTACCCTACGCCTTTTTCGCGGACACTCATGGCTCATGGTGGCGTGTGTCTGCTTTCTGCTCTGTTTGTGAGCCCTGCTGCCCGTTCAAAGGCGTGCCCATTTTTCGGCTTGTAAAAAGTGGTGGCTGTCAAGTGGTGCTTTAAGTGGTGCTTTTCCCTCGCCTGTGTTCACGCCTTTTGTCCTCGCCTACTTTCTCACAAACTCTATC